GGCCCTATCGATTCTTCTCTTGCTAAGCTGAGGTCTCTCTCTGTAATCCGATTGAATGGCAACAATATCTCTGCTCCAGTTCCAGAATTTTTGGGTAATTTCTCAAATTTGACTTTATTGGATCTCAAATGGTGTGATCTACATGGAAATTTTCCAGCAAATATCCTTCAACTGCCAACTCTACAGAGTCTTGACATATCACTCAATCAGTGGGTTCATGTGTTTCTGCCTGACTTTCCAGAAAATGGGTTTTTACAGACCCTGGTGCTGAGTGAAACAAACATTTCAGGGACGATGCCAGCCTCCATTGGGAACCTTAAGATGTTGTCAACAATGAAACTTCCACGCTGCAATTTAAAAGGGTCAATTCCAAACTCGATAGGAAGCCTAGCAAATCTGGTTCTTCTGGACTTGTCTTGGAATCAGCTTTCTGGGTCCATTCCATCTCTCAGTATGTTGAAAAATTTGACTGATTTAGATCTCTCTTGTAATAATTTGTCAGGTCAGATAAGTTCCACCAATTGGGAAAACCTTTCAAATCTTGCAAATCTTTGGCTGAATGACAATTCACTAGAGGGAAGCATTCCCTTGTCTCTGTTTTCCCTTCCATCTTTGCAGAGTGCTCTTCTCTCAAACAATCGGTTCTCTGGTCAAATTGGTAACTTTCCGGTTGTGTCTTCTTCTCAGCTGACCGAGCTTGATTTGAGCAGTAACAGGTTAGCAGGTTCAATACCTAGTTCTTTTTTCAAGTTCCAAGGTCTTCGGCTACTCACTCTTTCTTCCAACAACTTTAGTGGCACGTTAGAGCTAAGCATCATCCAGAAACTTGGAAATCTTTCTACACTTGATCTTTCTTTCAATAACATATTGGTGGATGTTGGTTTTTTTGGTAAGATTGAGTTCACCAATCTCCCTCAGTTGTTGGAATTAAGGTTGGCCTCCTGCAAGCTGAGGAAATTTCCAAGTTTCTTGAAAAATCAGTCGATTATGTTCACTTTAGACCTTTCAAGGAATCAAATTCAAGGAGGAATACCCAACTGGATATTTGAGCTCACTTTGCAAGTGCTCGATCTGTCACACAACTCATTGAGCTCAGTTATTCCTGCTGACATTGGTAATTTCCTAAGCAACACTTTGTTTTTCTCGATTTCGAGCAATTTTTTTCATGGAGTCATCCCCGAATCAATTTGCAAAGGAAAACAGCTTCAAATCCTTGATTTGTCTAATAATTCTTTAAGCGGCACTGTGCCTCGATGTTTGATTGATATGAGTCACGGTAACATCTCAGCTGATGATTTGGGAGCACTGCGCGTCCTGAATTTAAAGAGAAACAACTTGACTGGCACCATTCCTGATGTGTTTTCAGTCGATTGTGCACTAGAAACTCTGAATCTCAATGAGAATCTCCTGCAAGGAACGATTCCCAAGTCCTTGGCCAACTGCAAAAAGCTTGAAGTTTTAGATGTCGGGAAAAATGGAATTAATGATAGCTTCCCATGTTTGTTGAGCACCATATCCAGTTTGAAGGTTCTTGTTTTGCGATCCAACAAATTCTTTGGGCCTATTGAATGTCCAGTGAGTAATGAAACTTGGCCATTTCTTCAGATTGTTGATCTAGCTTCTAACAAGTTCAGTGGAAAGCTGCCAGAAACATTCTTTGAAATATGGACAGCAATGATGGTCGGAAAAAGTGGAGCCCCAGCTACACTAGATTTCATCAAGTATTATACATCAATGGATTCCTCCGATTATCTAGAGGAGGTGACGGTCACCATAAAAAATTTACAGGTAGAGTTAGTGAAGCTCTTAACAATCTTCACCTCCATTGATTTTTCATGTAACAACTTTGAAGGGAAGATACCTGAAGTAACCGGGGAATTGACGGCACTCCACGTTCTCAATTTGTCACATAATTCTCTTGCAGGTCCAATCCCTTCATCTCTGGGGACATTGCATAATCTAGAGTCCTTGGACCTTTCTAGTAACAACTTGAGCGGCAATATTCCTCAGCAACTGGGAGGCCTGAATTTTCTTGAGGTCCTTAACCTCTCATATAATCAACTAGAAGGAAGAATCCCAAAAGGAAATCAAATTCAAACATTTACAGAAGACTCCTTCAAAGATAACAAGGGATTGTGCGGGACCCCTCTAAAGGATTGTGGAGCTGATGTGCAGCCGCCGTCTACCGTACCCACATCGAAAGGCAACAATTCAGATAATGGAACCAAGATTAACTGGAATCCCATAATTGTTGAAGTGGGATTTGTTTTTGGCTTAGCCATTGTCATTTTACCACTTATGTTCTGGAAAAGATGGAGGAGATGGTATTACAAACGTGTTGACAGTGTTCTTTTCAGGATTCTTCCCCAGCTAAATCAAAGAAACAGAAACCATAAGCGGAGCGTTCTCAGGATCGACGGAAAGAGGAACTAGGAAAGCTCTGATGAGAAGGGAGTATTGTGTCTTGATATAGTTGTTCTAGAAATAAGAGATGCTTTCATCTAATGTTCTTGTTTAGTAATTAGCAATCCTTTCAAACAACCTATCTTGTATGATAATGAGAGGTAAGTTAAATTTCTATGCATGTAATTTGTTGTCTTTCCAATATTAAAGTTTACTAGTGTCCTTTATACTAATAAAGCTTATAAAATGAATGTTCAATTGTCAATAATATTTTGATACTGGCAAAAGGTCTTTAATTAGTATTACTGTTATGGCCCAACATGTGGTGATCACTCATCTCTTGCCTCTACTTCTTCACTGGCAACAAACGATCTGAAGAAACCTCCACCATCTTAAAGAACTTCCTAGTGCCCTGTTGAACTTCAGCATATGAGGTCTTCGGGCCAATGTAACAATTTGGTAGAGTATCTGAGGGCCCAACCCAAGTTTGCTGTATGTGTCAAGAATAATTTGAACCTCACTAATTTTAGAAAATCCTTGACCCTACTCAGGCAGTTCTTTCTTTTACAACTGCTGCTTTTCCACCTTTTACAGATTTCCCACATGGCTTGTTGGTTTAACTAATCATGAGATACCAAGCTGTGCAGGAAGCTTAAGCACCACAGCATGCACCTCTCATTGGGGACAACCATGTTTCACAAAGTCTGAACGTTGTTCACTGTACAAGTTGAACCTGTCAATTAATAAACTTTTTCCTTCCTTCAGGGCACCGCTACTCGTTCCTGGCTTGCCAATGTTGATGTTGTCCCGCAAGAAAATTCAAATTCGAAACCAACACTGAAAAAAAGGCAAAACCATATGTTAAGCTCCTGAATTAATCCTAGATTCACTATTGAACCCCCAAAGCTAATTAATATATGTAAGTCTCTAAATTCTACGATCTGAATAATTTAAACCGTTATTCTTATAGCAATTTAGTTTTCATTCTTATGGTAGTTAAATAATTAAGGGTTAAATTACTTAAATTGTGAAGTTTTGAGATTTATATGTATCAATTAAAATTTAAAACCTCAATAATAAATTTAAAATTAATTCAAAAAATTAACATATGGTTTTACTTGAAAAAACACATAGCAAAGAAGTAAGGAAACCGCATACAGGGTTAGGGTAGTGGATCAATTTTTGCGCTTGAGGTCCAACATAAATGGATAATCCGGGTCCATTATTGGGCTTTCAGGACAGCTCTTCTTTTTTCTCACTATCGTCGCCCTCGGCTAGCGCCACTCAAACCAGTCACAAAATGAAGATATCTCTCCGGTAACGGCAATCGCTAATCTCGGTAACTTTACTGTCTTTCAGCCGAAACCTTTCCTCCGTACCTGTTCGACACTGCTCGTGTCGCCAGATTCAGCGACGATTGCTCTTCTTCGTTCGGTATCACTTGCAGCAGCGGCAGGGCATGCATATGCAAGCCTTGACCCTGGCGATGCCAATTAATCGACCTCAGGTGGAATGGAAATCCACAACTTATGCAATTTCTTTGATCCTTCATCATCTTCAATGCCTAAAATTTACCGTAAGTAGCCTGCAACAATTTCAAGATTATTATTTCTTTTTGTTCTTATTTCAATTTTGGAGAATTATATATTTCTTTTTTCTTTGATTATTTTTATTATATTTGTTTGTGCGTGAAGATCATTTGAATCCATTACTCTTCGATAAAAATTCACTGACTTAAAATTGTTCTCCATCCAACAATTAATTCTAAATTGGATTATTTGTTGCCCCTTGATTAGTAGCTCTTGAACATTTTTTTAGAAATACTACGGTAAAATTGGTTAGCTTACATGCTTCCATTAGTATAATATTATAATATAAAGTAGTATCTATTAAAACAGTGGAGATTTATTTTTTTATTATATTTATTAAAAATAATTATTTTTTTATAAATTTTAATTATTAAAAATAAAAAAATAAAAAACTAAGATTAATATAATATATATTTACAAAAATAGATTATTCTATGACTGCAAGTACCAAATATGTTTCTGCACTTGAAAATTTTAACGAGTTTGATGATAAGCTTGATGTTGATATTGAAGTTTGTTCCGAAGAGAAAGCATATTTGTTGGCTTTCTATGTTAATGCACTGTAATGGCTCCAACCAAACCCTCTGAACCGAAAACAAAGACTGGAATAATGGTACTCCTGACATGGACATTTAACGAAACACTCTGTCTTTCTTTGTTTCTTTTTTGGGGTAAAATCCCAATTCTCAAGTCACCGTTGATCCATCAAGTCTTGCACGCAAGTTGCAACAACTGGTTACTGTTATCCATGACGACACTATGTCATAGGAATGCTTTCATACCATCCGGTTCATACCTCACCTTCACTGCTTTCATACCATCCGGTTCATACCTCACCTTCACTGCTTTCATACCATCCGGTTCATACCTCATCTTCACTGCTTTCATACCATTCGGGTCATGCGTCTGATGCTTCTCGGAAGTTTTTTTTACAATAACGTGCTTTGATCTTTCAAGACTTTTTTGCTAGTGGTAGTGCCTTATCCAATACAACTTGTCTCAGTCCTGCTTTATGTCAATTATGCTTATGAAATGGAACATATATGGAAGACTATCGTATCATATATCCCAATTTTCCAAGAGGACAAAAGACTGCTACAGAGTATATATTGACACAACTTGTCATTACAGTGGAAAGCTGTTTTCACATTGAGAACTGCTAGCAATGGGGGTTGGTGCTGTTCTCTATTTCCTTTCGACTTGTAACTCTAATTTTTGAGTGATTACGGGAAATTTGGAATAGCCAAATATTTTGTATGTTTGTATTGTAAAATTTATTAAATTTGTTTCATACTTTAAGTTAACAAGTATCTTCTAGTCTCTGCTCCCCCTGTATTCTTCTCTTTATCATTAGTCAAAGACCTAAAGAAGATTTCCATGGTCCCCACGACATTGTTTTTGGAATTACCTCTGTACACCAATATTTTATCAACAAATTGTTTACTTCATCAAATGTATAATTTAAATGACTTTGAGTACTTTCATATGAACAATGCATAAGTTTTTTCTTCAGCGGAAAAACGTAAAAATAATAATAAAAAAACTGCAAAAATATGTGTCAATACCTCGACTACATAAATCTGCCTCTATTATTTTATATCAAAACTATCATGAGATAGAAATGGACTAGCTACCTTTGCGTAACGCGCGGGCATGCTAACTAGTTGCCTTCACGGACTTTGAAAAATTTCCCAGCAACGACTAGAAACGGTCAAGGAAAAGTATATTGAAAAAGACCAACGTCAACTTTCAATTTCATGGTAGCTCCACTTTCACTTCTACCATTTATCACTCACGCCTGCGCCTCTGAATCTCATCCATCAAAAAATGGAAATTCCTCCCCGGCAATTCCTGATCCTCATGGCTTTCTCTTTGTGCTTACACTTAAACGTAGGCTCTGTGAGGAGTCTATGTCTTGAGGATCAGCATTTGTCATTGTTAAAACTTAAGAAAACACTCATTTTCGACCCTGCTAGTTCACACAAGCTCATTTCCTGGAATTCATCAACCCAATGCTGTTCTTGGCTCGGCGCCACATGCAGCGGCAGTGGCCATGTTATTGGTCTCGACCTCAGTGATGAGGGGATTTCCGGCGGGATCGATAGCTCAAGCAGTCTCTTCAATCTTCATCATCTTCAGAGCCTTAACTTGGCTCGGAACAGTTTCAATGGCACTCGGATTCCATCTGGGTTGGGCAAACTTGCTAATTTGCGCCACCTCAACCTCTCCAATTCCGAATTTTCCGGACAAATTCCGGTTGAGATTTCCGGCTTAACGAGGTTGGTCTCTCTTGATTTGTCTATAGAGGACCCATACGAGGATCCATATGTATTGAAACTTGAGAATCCAAATTTGTCGATGTTTGTTCGCAACTTAACGAGGCTTACGGAATTACATCTTCAAGGAGCCGATCTATCTGCGGCAGGACGTAAATGGTGCCGTGCCTTGTCTTCACTACCTCAGCTAAGAGTATTGAACCTGGCTGACTGTTTTCTCGCCGGCCCTATCGATTCTTCTCTTGCTAAGCTGAGGTCTCTCTCTGTAATCCGATTGAATGGCAAGAATATCTCTGCTCCAGTTCCAGAATTTTTGGGTAATTTCTCAAATTTGACTTTATTGGATCTCAAATGGTGTGATCTACATGGAAAATTTCCAGCAAATATTCTTCAACTGCCAACTCTACAGAGTCTTGACATATCAATCAATCAGTTGGTTCATGTGTTTCTGCCTGACTTTCCAGAAAATGGGTCTTTACAGAACCTGGTGCTGAGTGAAACAAACATTTCAGGGATGATGCCAGCCTCCATTGGGAACCTTAAGATGTTGTCAACAATGGAACTCCCAGGCTGCAATTTAAGAGGGTCAATTCCAAACTCGATAGGAAGCCTTGCAAATCTGCTTCTTTTGGACTTGTCTTGGAATCAGCTTTCTGGGTCCATTCCATCTCTCAGTATGTTGAAAAATTTGACTGATTTAGATCTCTCTTATAATAATTTGTCAGGTCAGATAAGTTCCATCAACTGGGAAAACCTTTCAAATCTTGCAAATCTTTGGCTGCATGACAATTTACTAGAGGGAACTATCCCCTTGTCTCTGTTTTCCCTTTCATCTTTGAAGAATGCACTTCTCGCAAACAACCGGTTCTCTGGTCAAATTGGCAACTTTCCGGTTGTGTCTTCTTCTCAGCTGGCTGAACTTGATTTGCGCAGTAACAGGTTGACAGGTTCAATACCCCATTCTTTTTTCAAGCTCCAAGGTCTTCAGCTACTCACTCTTTCTTTCAAAAACTTTAGTGGCACTTTAGAGCTAAGCATCATCCAGAAACTTGGAAATCTTTCTACACTTGATCTTTCTTACAATAACATATTGGTGGATGATGGTTTTTTTGGTAATAATGATTTCACCAGTTTCCCTCAGTTAATGGAATTAAGGTTGGCCTCCTGCAGGCTGAGGAAATTTCCAAGTTTCTTGAAAAATCAGTCAACGATGCTGGCTTTAGATCTTTCAAGGAATCAAATTCAAGGAGAAATACCCAACTGGATATCTAAACCCCCTTTGCAATGGCTCAATCTGTCACATAACTCGTTGAGGGAAGTGGATGCATCTTTTCGTAATTTTAGTTCTGAGCTAATCTTAGACCTCCATTCTAACCAGCTCCAAGGGGATATCTCTCATATGATGACGTTAGCTCGATACATGGACTATTCAGAGAATCGGTTCAGCTCTGTTATTCCTGCTAACATTGGTAATTTCCTGAGCAACACTTTGTTTTTCTCAAT